TAGTCCCGGTAGTGAACGCACAGGAACTCGTTATTGGTCAGTAAATAAAAATATATACCCCCTATTATGTAAGTAGAGGAAGGAGCGTCACTCGCCATCTTGCCGGTTTGTTTACATTCGATATCCAAGGCGATTTTTTTATTATGCGCTTATTGACAAGCGCATTTCTGGCCGTAGATTGATCGACAACACATTTCTAGACATGTACAAGTCATCTACATTCGATTAATGTCTCTTACTTACCGAAATATCGACAGTTTATTTCGTGAGCTGAGAAAATGTTACCAACCCCGAGCGGAAGTAGATTTCAAACGCGGACAGAATCGAGCAAGCCAGCTGATTGGCTGAAAATACGCAGCGCTTTAATTAAAGAAATTAGCGCGAAATTTGAAGACAGTTATCTGGAGTGACAGCAGCATCTAAAAAACGACATCAGATAATTTCTTCAAATGGTAAATATTTATTATGAATATGTTTTTCATTTGTCATCTAAAGCTAATCTATTATTAGCTGGTGAATTTTAAACAATACATCACTGTATTAATATAATAGGCACATTTTCATGTATATCGCCTGTGCCTGATCACATTATGAATACTGGTAATGCTGATTGAAAAGTGAACATTTCAAGTTAATATATATCATAAAGGCAAAAGTAATAAAACTATTTGAGAATAAAAAGTAAATTAGAACATTACATGATTATATGAATATCACAAACACACCCAAATCTCATGATGTGCCATTATAATAACAATATGAAATTCTGAATTTTTACAAATGGCAGCTATATTGCGATGTTACAATAATTCAATTTTAAGTTATGTAAAGTTCTTGAAACATTCTTACAGGTTACATGAAAAGTATGTTGAAGATAGCAAAAGTACTATACCAGTTGAAGAGATTTTCCAGAAATTTTGTGGCAACTTTGGTCACAGATCAAAAGTGTTTGTCGGAAAATATATAAAAAAAGCTTTTCCAAATATCACCACAGCCAGGCACCGAAAACCCGGTGATTGGACAAAAAAACATCACTGTTTACCCTGGCAGCAATGTGAGATCTGAACAGACACAAAACATTGAATTTGCTGCAATATCTGATAACATTCCAAAAGACTATTTTGTACTGCAGCCAACTTAAGACTCTTTAACTGTTGGAAGGCAGACAGGATAATCCTGTAATGGGAACATGATATATTTACAAGTGAGATTTTCTACTGATGGGCATGTACATCTTTCCGTCAGTGGTACAGTAATAAATGACACTTTTGGGATTTGGTCTATACATTACGACTCAAAATCCCTTAACTCGTTCTCTTCAATACTGAACATGACAAGATACTGTCAGGGCATATCTCCTAACAGAATATCAGATGAGAAAGAAAATATTGTGCTTCAACAAAATTTTGAGGAGGAACCCATTGCATACTCTGCTAACTGTTTGAAAGTATTATCTTTGAATTGTGTAAATTAAGTCAATAGTAACATGTCAGATCTGTAGGTATTTGCTTTGGTGTAGCCCCACTGTAAAATTTGTCAGTCTAACCTTGTGTGTTATTGTTTCAATCCATACATCACTTGTGAAAGGATGTTGGCCAGGATCTTGGTACAAGTCACTGGCATATGGGGGAATTTGAAAGAAATCCCCAACACACACAACCTGCAATCCTCAACAATTCAAACTTGGGTCTCTAATACTCCTACATATGAATTCAAGCTGAAATTAAACAGTATAAATTGTGTACATCGAGCATATGTTAACAAGAAAATAATAGGAACATTGGGAATAGGCATGTATTAAATATTCCACAAGAATATAACTCTTTGGGCATGGGTCTTGAGGAGATAAGTAAAAATAAGTACCAGTATTTAAAGTGTAGTGACACACTTGGAAAAAAACCTTGTCTTAGCTACTATAAGAAGTATATTAATACTGTGACTTGCCATATTCATGAGAATAATTCCTACATTTTAACATGCTTAAAAATACCTTTGTTATGGTATGTTGAGGATTACATGTCTAGTTTTAAACTCTATTAATATTATGATTTGTGATGTAAATGTTGGAGTATATACATATAATACATGTCATATTTACCTGTTCAAATATTTTTCTACTAATCATGCTTATCTCATCAATGATCAGCACACCAGTCTCCTTAATCCTCCTGTAGAATTCTTCTTTTCATTACCAAGAAGTATCTTATATAAGTCAGGATTTTTGTGTCTTCCATCACTCAGCCCAGCCCCATCATGAAGAGTAAGTGCTAGCAGTAACAGACACCAGTCTTCCATTTCTCCTCAATCTCTACGTAAATTCCTTGATAAGAACCCTTTTTCCTGTGCCAGCCTGGACAATGATTAGAGTGTTGTGTCCATCTTTGATCAAATTCAATGAAAACACTTGTTCTTCAGTCAAAGCTATCATTTTGAACCCACGTGGGTTGCACATGTGTTGTTGTTTTCACGCTGACTTGACATAAGTAGGTCAGCCAATCAGGTGGCTCGCTCGATTCTGCCCGCGTTTAAAATCTACTTCCGCTCGGGGTTGGTAACATTTTCCAAGCTCGCGAAATAAACTGTCGATATTTCGGTAAGTAAGGGACATTAATCGAATGTAGATGACTTGTACATGTGTAGAAATGTGTTATCGATCAATCTACGGCCAGAAATACGCTTGTCAATAAGCGTATAATAAAAGAAATCGCCTTGGATATCGAATGTAAACAAACCGGCAAGATGGCGAGTGACGCTCCTTTTCTCTATTTACACATAAGGGGTATATATTTTTATTTACTGACCAATAACGAGTTCCTGTGAGTGAACGCCATTCAAATTGCCAGTAGTTTTAAGCTTGTGTTCTCCTATGAGTTGCGATGCCACCCCTAAACTGAACCCAAGGTGAGTAGACGTTTATTTTCAGGAAGTCGTGGCATTGCGTAAGCGGTATTTATGGTTACACAAAAGTATTTGTATGAGCACCTGATAGCTAAACAATCAACGTGTGCTGTTTGTATTAAAAACAACAACACGCATGCAAACATCAAAATTGTTTGTTTGTTGTTTAACGCCGCACTACAGCTATGTGACTGCGTTCTGTAAATAATCGAGTCTGGACCAGACAATCCAGTGATTAATATCATGAGCATCTATCCACGCAATTGGGACCAATGCCATATATCAACCAAGTCAGCGAGCCTGACCACCCGATCCCGTAAGTCGCCTATTACGACAAGCATAGTCGCCTTTTACGGCAAGCATGGGTAGCTGAAGACCTATTCTACCCCGGAATCTTCACGGGTCATCAAAATTGTGCGCCGTTGATGAACATGCGCGTGCTAATTGTGAATCATGACCTTCAAATCGAGATGACGTCTTCAGGAATATGTTTTGAAAGATGTATTATTTTAATTTCAGAATAAATCTATTTATACTGAACTTTAGAGATGCACAATTACCCTTTTCCTTTAGTGTACATTCATGATCAAATACAGTGCACAAGTTAAATAATTATTAAAATATCTTAATTTAAGATAGAAACTCGAATACTTCGGTACACGAACTTATATTTTTTTAGTCGTACTGCTTCAAAGAGATTAGAATGTCAAAAGTTGTCTACTTTAATTTACAAAGCGGTAATAAAGGTAAGTAAATCTGATTCACTTGGTAAGAAGGGTTGGTTGGTTTGGTGTTTAACGCCGCATTCTGCAATATTCCAGCTATATGACGGCGGGCTGTAAAAAAATCGTGTTTGGAACAGACAATCCAGTGATTAATATCATGAGGATCGTTCCACACAATTGGGATCGGTGACATCCATCAACCAAGTCAGCGAGCCTGACCACCCGAGGGGGCACGGGTGGCCTAGTCGTCTAAGGCGCCGCGATTCGCTGTTCAGAGTTGCGTCCCTTGGGTACGCCAGAAACCGTTCGAATCCCGGTTCGCCCCGATTATGTTTCTAGGTTCGTCAGCACCATACCCGTGCTCCTGGGTTTCACCGAAGTGGTAAACGTCTGAGACCTGCATCACTTCGGGCTTTCCTCCCACATTAAGCTGACACGCCGTGATATGACTGGAATACTGTTAAAAGCGGCGTTAAACCCAACTGACTCACTCACTCACTGACCACCCGATCCCGTTAGTCGCCTTTTACGACAAACATAGTCGCCTTTTATGGCAAGCATGGGTTGCTGAAGACCTATTCTACCCCGGATCTTCACGGGGCTCCAGCTATATGACGGCGGTGATATACGACAAGCATAGTCGCCTTTGACAGCAAAGCATGGGTTGCTGAAGACCTACTCTACCTCGGATCTTCACGGGTCTATATGTATGTGAATGTACACATAGATACGTTCTTATGCTATTAGCCTTCCCATTCCGTAGGTGGTTTAGTGAGAATAAACTGAGGGAGTTGAGATGAGGAGTAAAAATAATGATAAATTAAAATCAGGGAAATGTTTAAAAACGTATCACTATTTCAGAGAACATGGATAATCTCTAACGAGTTTAGGTTAAATAGGAATATTAAGAGAGATACAGAGATGCATTATCGCTGAAAATATACCCGTTCAGTGAATATTTTACCTATAACATATACATGAATACTGTAGCTTACGAAACACCCCCCTCGCGGAGAATCCGGCACAGAATTGGTCCCTGGCAAGCTGTGGTCTTAAGAGACGACATAACGGATCGGGAAGTCAGGCTTGGTCACTTTGTTTGAGGGAATGTCATCGAACCACGATGCACATATCACTCCCTTGATTGTCTGGTCCAGGCTCGATTATTAGCAGACCGCCGTCATATAGCTGGAATATTGCTGAGTGTGGCGTTAAACAGCAAACCACCCAATAGCGTGATCGATGCTGATGATGTCAATCACTGGATTGTCGGATCCAAACTCGATTATTTACAGACCGCCGTCATATAGCTGGAATATTGCCGAGTGCGGCGTTAAACAAGAAATACACACACACACATAAATATAAAACACTCACCCTAGGTTCCTTCAGACGAATAATGCCTTCTGTATGTTGAGGGGATTTCGCTGATGAACCCACTGTTTGGCACAACCTTGTCTCTAGATCATAATTTGCCGAACTGCATAACTTCAATTTCGCACAAAGATTTTCACACTGAAATTTGTTCATAACTTTTGCGGTCCACACTAAAGGTCCTTCGAGAAAGGAATGTATCATGTCCGTGCTCCGTAACCAGTTATTCCCTTCGGTTGGAGAAAGCCACATGTGTATGACAAAGCAGGAAAATATCAGTTGTGGAGCTGCCATCACGTCTCAGTGGCCGTGTCAACATAAACTGCCTCTCACACGACTTCCAACTTGCATCAGTCGCAGAGTTGTGATGTTCACTGTGGAAACAACATTGACCAGATCAATAAAACAGCTACTGCTCTGTAGGACGTTGTGAATGTAAGACTGTTGAACTAATTACGTAATCGGTACTCTCGTTGTGTGTATAATAGCGAGATGACATCGTGGGAGCACGCCAGGTCCATGGTCAATATTCGTGAAGATTAAGGGCAGTTTGGAAAATTGTTCTTAGAGCAACCATTGTGTGTCCAAAGAGGCCACTTACAGAACGGCGTAGTCAGACTCGCGGACTGTTTCTGCATTGCGTAGATCGATGCTCATGATGTCTATCACTGGATTGCCTGGTTCAGGCTGGATTGTTTTAACAACAAAGGTGACACTATTCACTATGAAGTGTTGCGTCCCTTGGTCATGTCAGATAGATTCCTTGGTTGGTATTTCAGATTTTCCTTCATTGTGATCTGTTGTTTGTCAACATACCTGCGCCGTATCACCCCCTTTCCCTTTTTTTTCCTGTGGACATGGAGTGAGTGAGTGAGTTGGGTTTAACGCCGCTTTTAACAGTATTCCAGTTATATCACGGCGTGTCAGCTTAATGTGGGAGGAAAGCCCGAGTGAGTGTGTGAGTGAGTGAGTGAGTTGGGTTTAACGCCGCTTTTAACAGTATTCCAGTTATATCACGGCGTGTCAGCTAAATGTGGGAGGAAAGCCCGAAGTGATGCAGGTCTCAGACGTTTACCACTTCGGTGAAACCCACGAGCACGGGTATGGTGCTGACAAACCTAGAAACATAATCGGGGCGAACCGGGATTCGAACCCACAATCATAGGTTTCTGGCGTGCCCAAGCGACGCAACTCTGCACAGCGAATCGCAGCGCCTTAGACGACTGGGCCACCTGTGCCCCCGACTGATACCCAAAACGCTGCCAATCTGGGACCTACATGTATAGTTATTTTACAATGGAGATTGTATGTACTAAATGACGAATCTCCTGATGCAAATTTTATGACTGAGATTTTAGTGATTTTCAACATCACTTTTATTGTATTGGTTGATATCTGATTACAAAAAAGACATTTCTCGCCGCGAATAGCTGCAAAATTGCTGATGCGGCGTTAAGCAATATTCACTCACTCACTCACCTGATGCAAATTTGTACTTTTGGATGATTTTAACGCTTGAGTTGGTGGTAAGCATGTTTCATAGAAAATGATTCTACAACCTATCTACCAGTCGACGATATTGAGTACGAAAGTGACACATTGGATATTCCCGAAGTCAAGGGGAACAAACTGTTAGATTTATGTCGGAACTTCAATATGCATTCATTAAACTGTCGATCGGGTGATGATACTGACGGTGAAACCCATGAGCACGGGCATGGTGCTGACAAACCTAGAAACATAATCGGGGCGAACCGGGATTCGAACCCACAATCATAGGTTTCTGGCGTGCCCAAGCGACGCAACTCTGCACAGCGAATCGCGGCGCCTTAGACGACTGGGCCATCCGTGCCCCCTATGGACATGTAGAGGGTATTTTGGATTAACGATTTTATTTTGTTTATTTGTTGTTTAACGCCGCACTAAGCAATATTACAGAGGTCTCTAAATTATCGAGTCTGGACCAGACAATCCAGTGATTGATATCATGAACATCGATCCACGCAATTGGGAAACGATGACATGCATCAACGAGCCTGACCACCCGATCCCGTTAGTCGCCTTTTGCAGCAAGTATGGGTTGCTGTAGACCTATTCCACCCCGGATCTTCACGGGTCTTTCTGGATTAAAGACTTCTTTCGGGAAGTCATACCGGAATTAAGGGATGAATATAATACGTGGATCGATGCGATGCTTTGTTGTCAGCCACTGGATTGTCTGGTCCAGACTCGATTATTTGCAGAGACCTACCGCAAGCATGGAAATCATCCAGAAATCACGCAAAATTCATGTTCGGGGGTCCGTTGAACAAGAAAACAGAAGCAGAAAAAATGCAACTACTTGATCATATGGGTAGGAGAAATATATTCTCAACCTGGAATATATCAGCAGATGATCAGAAACTTTTGAAAACGTATTATGACAAGTTTGAAGAACATGTTGCTCCCAAGTCGAATGTTGGTTTTCAAGATACAAGTTTCACAGTAGAACTAAAGTAGAATCAAAGACTTTTGAAGAGTAATGACAGCGCTAAGAATGTTTGCTAGAGATTGCAGTTTTCATGATGCAGAAGAAATGATCAGAGACAGGATTGTGTGTGGAACTAAACATACAAGGGTGAGGCTGAAATGTATTGAAGAAGGTTCAAATTTGACTTTGTCAGTGTCAGAAATGACATAGACATATGAAGTTTCACAGAAACAGTTACAGATTATGGACACAGCTGCTCCGCCTCGACTGCAGAAGATTATGATGACGCTACAACGATATGATCTGGACGTAAATTACAGACCTGGAAGAGAACTCCTGTTAGGTGACCACCTGCGCAGAAATTTCTTGAAGGAATCGCAGGAAACAGAGACACTGGATGTCAATATGATCAGTTATCTCCTTGTCACAGATACCAAGTTGAAAATGTTACAGCCATCTACAGCTAAAGACAGCGTGTTGACAGAAGTCAGAGACTACATAATGGAAGAATGGCCTGACTAGCCAAGTGAAGTTAGTTGTCAAACAAGACAATATTGGACATACATGAGGAATTGACATGTGTTGATGGTTAAGTGTTTAAAGGACACAAACTGGTGGTACCAAATAGTAGCAGAAAAGAAATGCTTGAGAGAATTCATAGTTCACACCTTGGAGTAGTGAAATGTAAGTGCCGAGCAAGAGAAGTTCTATTTTGGCCCTGAATGGCCACAGATTTTGAGAGAACTGTTGCATCATGTGAAATATGCGCCAGACATCAGAAAAGAAACCCAGCTGAAACCCAGATTCGAGACCCTGGTCGAAGATCGACACAGATTTGTTCGACTACAACGGAAGTTCTTATTCACTAACTGTTGATTATTTCTCCAAGTGGCAGTTCGACTACAACGGAAGTTCTTATTCACTAACTGTTGATTATTTCTCCAAGTGGCGGGTTGGTTGGTTGGTTTGTTGTTTAACGCCGCACTCAGCAATATCTCAGCTATATGACGGCAGTCTGTAAATAATCGAGTCTGGACCAGACAATCCAGTGATTGATATCATGAGCATCGATCCACGCAATTGGGATAGATGACATAAATCAACCAAGTCAGCGAGCCTGACCACCCGATCCCGTTAGTCGCCTTTTATGACAAGCATAGTCACCTTTTACGGCAAGCATGGGTTGCTGAAGACCTATTCTACCCCGGAATCTTCACGGGTCCAAAGTGGCGGGAAATGGTTCGGCTAGAAGATACAACCAGTCAAAGAGTAATTCTTCACCCGAAGAGCCAGTTCGCCAGGTATGGCATTCCAGATATGTCATGAGCGACAATGGACAACAGTTTTCAAGTTCGGACCTATCGAGGGGATAGGAAAGCCTCCAGCTCAATTATTCATGGGGAGGAGATTGAGAGGAACTGTACCAATGTCAAACCCATCACTAAGCACTGAAGACCCGTGAAGATTCGGGGAAGAATAGGTCTTCAGCAACCCATACTTGCCGTAAATGGCGTGGATCGATGCTCAAGATATCAATCACTGGATTGTCTGGTCCAGACTCGATTATTTTACAGACCGCCGTCATATAGCTGGAATATTGCTGAGTGCGGCGTTAAACAACAAACCAACCAACTAAGCACTGAACATACAGAACAAGACAGAAACCTACTCCGGAAGAGACAAGTCAGTCAACACAAACATTACAAAGGTTGCAGTGATCTGAAACCACCAGAAGCAGGAGATACAGTCATGAAAAGAGGAGATAACTCCTGCATGCCTGCCACATGTCACACCTAGATCGTACATCGTTCAGTCCGAGACCTGACGCACCTACAGAAGACATCAGAAACAGAAATCAGTAAACCCGTCGTACCAGACATCACCATCGCAGCACTCAGTACGCCAGCAGTATCACGTCAAGTCACCAATTGTAACAACCTGTCCGCCAATGTCGACCATGACATCCAAGCTGTCCATGGAGTCAACACCAACCAAACAAGTACCAGTCAACATTGCCAGGCAAGGCCGTAACCAGGAGTGGCCGAGTCGTTGTTAAGCCCGCTAGGCTGAGAGACCAATCAATTACTTTAATTTCAAGTGTTCAATAATGTAGAACGCTTAATAGTTGAAGTGCCAAATATTGCTAATTATTCAGAGTCTCTAAAGCGATATTTCTAAGTGCAAAATTGTGAATCTCGTGGACTGTGAGTGTATTGTAAAACACTTATGGACTATATACTGTTAATTTGAATTTCAATATATGGACTGTATTAAGTGTAAATGTGAATTTAATAAGTAAGATTTCATGGACATGAAAGTTTGGAAATTCCTGGACTGAATTCATCCTGAAGTGCAGTGTATCAGAGACTTTATTGAAAACAAGTGACATTCTGGAGTAACATCCTTGATCAGTGCACACTAACTGCAGAGTTGTCCTGATAGTCCAATGTGAACATTTTCTTTGGTATAATTGTTTAAATCCCAAAGAAAAGGGGATGTTATATGTTTGCATTGTTATTGATGTAAGCGATATTGCTCATGATATTATTCACTGGATTGTCAGGTCAAGACTCGATTATTTACAGACCTCCGTTATGTAGTTGGAATATTGCTGAGAGTGGCGTTAGACAACAAACCAACCAATGGCGTGGATCGGTGCGCATGATGTCAATCACTGGATAATCTGGTCCAGACACGATTATTGACAGACCGCCGTCGCTGGATAAGTTGATGTAGGCGTTTCTATATCTATCTTACACAGTTGATTGATACAAGACATAACAACGAGCATTTAAAAAACGTAATTAAAAAATACATTCTTTTCTCTTAATATTCACTTATATCAAAATATATATCAAAATATGCTAATTTTAAATTACAAATTTCATTTATCCCTCATGTTCTTAAAGGACCCGTGAAGATCCGGGGTAGAATAGATCTTCAGCAACCCATGCTTGCCGTTACAGGCGACTATGCTTGTCGTAGGGGGCGACTAACGGGATCGGGTGGTCAGGCTCGCTGACTTGGTTGATGCATGCCATCGATCCCAATTGCGTGGATCGATGCTCATGATATTAATCACAGGACTGTCTGGTCCAGACTCTATTATTTACAGACCGCCGTCATATAGCTGGAATATTGCTGAGTGCGGTGTTAAACAACAAACAAACCAACTTAAAGATATGGATCCCCAACATGACATG